CCTAGAAAACACACCAGGGTCATGTTAGGGCATTTTAGGCCATTTTGAAGTGGTGGTCTAGAAAACCAAATTGGCAAAACTTAGGCCACCACTTCAAAATGATCAAAGTTTTTCCAGATGTTTTTCCTTTTTTTTTCTAACCTAATCTTACTATTATCGAATGATCGCGAACATGTCAAAACATTGTCAAATCTCTGATTTTTCCAGATTTTCGATTTTCGCCTCATGACATATTTCTCCTGTTTCTTTGCAAGAAAATGTACAAGAAAAGTAGGAAATGACGATGATGGTAGTGGGTGAGAAGGGGATTAACTTGTATACAGAAGGTGTGCCTAATTCTACCTACAACATGATGATTATTCACCGAATTCGTCATTTTCCCCCTTTTTTTGCAGAAAAAAGGGAACGCTTTTCGGAAAAAAAGAGGGAACGAAAACGGATTAAACGATCATCAATCGGAGAGCGAACCACTTTTTTAGTTCAGTCATAACTTAGGGATCTCGGGAAAAAAAGGATTTTCAATTTGATTTTTTAAAAAATTAATTATAACGAAAAATAGTTAACAAAATCAAGAAAATTAGATATTCAAGTCGTCATCCGGGTCACTATCATCCAGATCGTCGTCTCGATCCGGCTCATAAACGATTTGACCGCCCACTCGGATCTTCTTGGTGGCAGCGTCACGAATGGCGACTCCTGGAATAATTAAGAATTTTTGAGCCAATTTCAGTGAATTTTGGGCCATTTTTGGTCAATTTTGGACAATTTTTACTGAATTTTTGAGCCGTTTCTAGTGAATTTTGGACTATTTTTTAGTGAATTTTAAGCGATTTTTAGGGAATTTCTGAGCCATTTTTAATGAAGTTTGGACCATTTTTAGCGAATTTTTGAGCAATTTTTAGCGAATTTAGGGCTATTTTTACCAGAATAATAGTTAAAAACCCTTACCATCTTCTTGCCTTCCAACAAAAAAGGGCAAATCCATGGCTCCTTTTCCAGCTTCCTCCGTGGCTGAAGGCATCGTTGAAATGGATGCTTCTATTGGAGTTTCTACCTTCTTGATGATTTTAAACGTCGGCTTTCCGCCGGTTTGAACAGTGATCAGTTGGTCCTGAACATTTTTTTAAAGTCGAAGATTACTGTAGATTACTGTAGAAGCTAATTTGTAGTCTTTTTTTGCAGCCACAACGTCAGAATGCAGACAAATGTTTTTAACTACAAAAGGAAATTAGGTTCTACAGCATACTTGTAAAATTCCGGGCCGGCCCGGGCCGGGCCTGAGGAAATTTTCAAGGCCCGGGCCCGGTGTTAAAAATTATGTATTTTTGAGCCAAATTTTGAGCTCTCAATTTAATTTTTTCCATTTTTTTTTCGTTTTTTGGATTGTTTGTCTGTCTAATCAAAAAAGATCGAAAAAACTCGAAAAAAAATTTTGGTCGAAAAAAATCACATAAGGGTCCCCTCTTATGTGTTTTTTGAAAATTTCAAAACTAGTGAAATGACGTGCCCGCCGGGCCGGGCCTCCGAAATTCCGGAAAAAGCCCGGACCGTTACAAGTATGTTCTACAGTAATCTTCGCGAACGTTATCTAGTCGAATTTCAGACTAAAAATTGGGAAAATCAAGAAAGAATCTTCAAAAATAGCTGAAAAACCTAAAAAGGTCTGAAAATTTTGCAAAAAATCGCATATTTTTCAGAGTTTTGAAGAGAATTCAAAAAAGATCCCAGAACCTTCCAGAAGGTTCTAGAAGAAAGCGCTTTTTCGAATTTTCGACCTATTTCTATATGAATCTACGCGTTTTTATGCACTGAAAAGTTAAAATTCTCACCGAAACTGACAAATTTCCCTTCTTATCGAACACCGTCGTTAATGACTCGAAAACCAGCGGATTTTCTGTGCTTTTTCTGGAAAACTCTTTATTCAGATCAATCCACGTGGAATTTGGTGCTTACATTGAAAAACTGGCATTTGTGAAATGCTCAAGATGAGGCGACACTGGAAAGGAGTTCGCTGAGACGATGAAGATTCTCTTTTTGTCTGAAAAATCTCCTTTTCTCGCTATTTCTTGAATTTTTATTCACTTTTCAGCGATTTGATAAGCCTCAGCGCTTTGGGAAGTCCAAATGTCAGCACATATAAGTCGAAATCCGCGAAAACGACCTCAGAAGACGTCACATCGTCTGGATTCAATTCTGAATCCGTTGAGAACGTTGAAACAGCGACTTCTGGGTGATATTCAGAGTGCCACATGGCACACGACTCTTGACAGATGAAGCCAGGATTTTCAAGAGCGGAGAAGAGGACTTCGTAGGCTTTAATTGGATCGTCGGCTGAAAAAACAGCCAACGAAGTTTTCGGGAGATCGTAGAATGTAGACATTGTTATGACTGTAAAATCACGAATTTTTCTTTTTTTTGTGCTATTTAAAAAATTAGATTCTCAGACAAAAATCGCAAAAACCTTGAAAATTTGAGAGGAGAAAAGTTAGAAAAAATGCAAAATCCGTAGTGAAGTGTGCGTCGAGTTGCGTACCTGGCGCCAGACTTTACGACAATTATCTGAAAAGGCGATAACACATCGAATTCTAGACAGAATTTCAAAATTTTTATATGAAATTGTAAAAAATTAGGACAAATAAATACAAAAAAGGATAAGAGATCATAATGGCGGAGGTGGCCCTCCATGGAATGGAGGCGGTGGACAATTGCTCGAGTGTGGTGCCAGCACCATTTTCTTCTCACGGAGCGCATCGAGGAGGGCCCAGCAGGCAACCGGGTTCTAAATACAGAAAATTAGAATTTCTAACTCCAAAATTCCAAAGCTTACCACTGGCTTATTCGTGGCTTCTGGCTTGATATGTGTCGGCGCCGCCCGTTCTCCCCATTTCGCGTATAGTGGATCCCTGCCGTCATACGGTGCTCTACTATTCCCCCAAAGCTGTGGAAGCGGCTGATCACCATGGTAACCACCGGAGCCTTCCATCATTGTTCGTAGGAAGAGATCGCGTTCCGAAATTGGAGCTGCTGGTTCTGCTAAAAAAGATTTAGAGGGATTATTATCAAATTTCTCTATTTAAGTACCTGTTTGCCTCATCATCATACTCTGCATCATATGCTGTTGCTGTTGAGCAGCCACCGCTGCTGCTGCGGCTGCTGCTGCAGCCCTCTGATGCATTTCTGCTTGCTCCATGGCTTTCAGGTGATGAGACACGTACGCTTCCTGGGATTGAGCGTAGGCGGCTGCCGCTTCTGCTTCGATATCCATCACTTTTCGAGTCTGGATTCGTTGAACCGGAAAATTGCGAGTTTTTTAAAGGATTTAAACTTGTTTCTCACCTGCGCTTTTCTCGCTGTCACCTCTTTCTCCCACTGCTCGAACTGAGACACATACTGATTATAAGCTTCGGTACCGACGGATCCTCTGAAAAAATCGATTTTCCTTTATTTTTCGATGTGACTAACTTATTAGTCTCCTTCCAGTGCTCAAATTGTGCTCGATAGTCGGCGTACTGCTTCTCCAACTCCTCTTCTGACGCCTGAATCTTCTACAGAGGTTTGCGGGAGGAAAATCGATGAAAAACTCACTTTTTTTGTTGGATCGTTCATCATTTTGTGTGGGAGATTCGCTGAAAAACGTTATTTAAAAGAGGAATTCGTTGAAGACCCGGAAAAAAACAAGAAAAAAAGTTCAAAAAATGCAGGTGGCCTAGAAAACTCTAGTGGCCGGCCATGACACCAAACCTCGGCCATCTCCATTTTCTTAGGGGAATTAATTTGGAATTAATTTCTGTTATTTTTCGCAGTTTTATCGTTTTATAACAATTTTTCTTTTGGAAAACATAAAAAAAAACAATACAAAATTAATTATAATTTTCGTTTTCAGGTAATGACTCCTAACCCGCAAGTCCTTGTCAACGCGCTTCCACTTCGCTTAAAACCACGTAGATCCCGGTCCAAAACTGCATTGGAACTTGCCGAAGAGGCTTTTGAAGCGGCGTGCTGTAAGAAAACTCTGAAATTAAATGGAAAAATAAACCAAAATTTCAGATTCCAGCTCATCAGGTGTCGTGATATCGCACAAGAATGGGACTGGAGAGGTTTTAGTGGCAGAATCCTTTGAAGTGAGTTTTCAAAATTCTGAAAAGGTGAAAAATCTATTTTTTTTTAGGACTCTGGCCTCCATTTCATCTTTTCCAAGTCCACCAACATTCAATACCCAACAAATTTCGATGATATTGGTGTGGGATCAGTGGTACAAGTCTATTGGACCCGAAGCTTTGAGAGAGTAGTAAAAACCGCTCATATAGTGATTCAAATCGAGAAAATGGAGGTTTACAAGTGTAAGAATCATGGAAATCGTTGAATTCTGAACTAGAAGTGTTGAATTTTGATCTCTTCCAGGCGCCACGTTGCTCCGAGATCGCATTTTCGTCACCTTCAACTCTCATGTGGTTCCAGGCGTTGCGTTGGGAATTTCTGAGGTATTTTGGAATTCAGAAGACGTCAAAAATATATTGATTATTTTCAGCGCAACACCACTGTGGCATTTCATCCGAATTGTGCTCCGAAGCTCTCGACGGAGACGTTAGAAGCACATGCAGAAGGAAGGACAGAGTTTGAGATGAAAGCTGTGAGTTTTGCTTCTTGAAATAAGTTCATTTCGATGAATTTGATTCAAAATTGTCCAAAATTCACTGAAAATGGTTCAGAATTCGCTGAAAATGGTCCAGAATTCAGTAAAAATTGTCCAAAATCCAGTGAAAATTGCCAAAAATTCAGTAAAAATTGTTAAAAATTCACTGAAAATGCTCCAAAATTCGCTGAAAATTGTCCAAAATTCAGTGAAAATTGTCAAAAATTCGGTGAAAATGGTCCAAAATTCGGTGAAAATGGTCCAAAATTCGGTGAAAATGGTCCAAAATTCGCTGAAAATGGTCCAAAATTCAGTAAAAATGGTCCAAAATCCAGTGAAAATTGTCCAAAATTCACTGACAATGCTCCAAAATTCGCTGAAAATTGTCCAAAATTCAGTGAAAATGGTCCAAAATTCGCTGAAAATGGTCAAAAATTCAGTAAAAATTGTCAAAAATTTACTGAAAATGCTCCAAAACTCGCTGAAAATGCTCCAAAATTCAGTAAAAATGGCCCGAAATTTAGATTTTCAGAAATTTCAAGCCAAATTTTCAGAAACATCGAGAAAACACGAATCGAATGGTGGAAGTCTTCCTTGTTCTCGTACCATTCCGGGTGGAAATCGCTGGAAACGTCGACAAAATTCCTTTTGTTGTTGTCAGAAAGATAGCGAATACACGTGGCAGAGAAGGTGTCGCAGTCATCACCAAGGTACTTTTTTTAGTGAAGAAAGTGGTTCTGGAAACCAGGTGATTAACGTTTCAGATCATAAAAAATCACTTTATGGAGGCCAACTTCTTGAAGTCGTCGGAGCGGGTGTACTTCAATTCGCAAGCGTGTCATTCGAATATTTTGGTAAGGAATGGGGAAAAATGTTCTGAAATTTACTTAAAATTGTCTAAAATTTACTGAGAGTGGACTCACTGAAAATACACTGAAAATACACTAAAAATGGTCCAAAGTTGATGGAAAATAGTCAAAAATTCATTAAAAATGGCTTAAAATATTATTAAAAATGGCTTAGAAGTACACTAAAAATGGTCCAAAATTGATGGAAAATAGCCTAAAATTCACTAAAACTTGTCTTCATTGAATCGGTCCAAAACTTGTTATTTTTTAGGAAAAAGTGACAATTGGCTCACTGATCAACGTGTGTGCTTCTCCGGCCTTCCCCACTTCTCATTACCGCTGGTACGGATACGATGTCACTTTGTGTAAGGTCAGTTAAAAGATTATGGTTCTTTTGCGGTCAAAATGACTGGAATTCAGGTTTTGATAGTTTTCTGAGCTCCCTTTGTTCAATTTTCTAGTCCCAATCCCTCCAAAATCGTTATTTTTCAGAACTATCTCGCCAATGCTGACACCCAGCAAAGTTTCAACATGAGACGCAACAAAATCCTTCAGAATTATGACGAGAATGATCCGGACGGTGGTCATCCGATGAAGAATGCCAAGGAGGCGTTTGCCAATATCACTTTTGCGGCGCTGCCAGAAGAGGAGGTCCCACAGAAGTATGTTTTTGACCTAGAAAATGTCTCTTGCTCCAAAAAGTCGAGCTAAAAATCACTAATTTTTGGCCTGGAAAATGTGTCTATTTATCATAAATTTGAATTTCAGAAAAATCAAAAATGTGTTCAAATTCCTCTCATCGCAGGCACAATACAAGATTCGACGGCTTATCCTTGATAGGAATTTCTGGCGAGTTTTTTAAAGCTTTATTATTTCGATTCATATGAGAGATATCGAAAATCTGTCAACTGATAAAATATTTATCAGCTATATTTTATCAGTAGACATATTTTTGATATCTCTCATAAGTACCGAGATAATTGAGCTTAAAGTTGACTAAAAGAGGACCATTTTCAGCCTTATGAATCCTCGAGAAGCCAACGAGATCGTCGACTCCTACTTTGTTGATCGCATGGAGATTGACGACAAGGAAAATCGATATATGAGACGAGTGGAAAGAGAAGAGAGTTACCTGAGGCAGCAACGAGAGCTAGATGAAAATGAAGATATGCAAACGACACTTCCAGTGTATAGCGAATCGCTGGCAGATGAGATCCATGGAGTTTTGGGTGAGCAATTGAAGCGAATCGTAGAAAACCCTAGAACATTTTTTCCAGAACCATTCAACCTTAACAAGCCTCGTACTGTGACTCAGCAGCCTCCTCCTCCCAACGTTCCCTATTTCATGCTTCCCCCTCCAGCTACAGTACCCCGAACTCACAGAAGAGGAAACGAACTGCCACCACCGCTATCAGTTGAAGAAGTCCGAGCACGTTTTGGCTCACTTATGGATGCAGATGGATTCGCGTTGAATCAAAAGGTTCAGCCCGAGTTTGTGATTCCCGATACGAATTGGAAGCCAACGGAGAGGAGATGGATAGGTGAATCGGCAAAAATTAGTGGAATTTCTGAGTGGAAACTGGTCAAAAGCTAGCTAGAAATTGCTTATTTTACACTCCCAAAATCTCCATAAAATTGATTGATTTTCAGGGATCCACGATGACGTCCAATGGGTGTTGATGGCCACATTTCTGCCGCCACCGCCAGAAAATTGTACAGAGAAGAAGCTGCTAGGAGGGGTACGGCATTGAAAATGGCTCAAAATTCGCTGAAAATAGCTCAAAATTGACTAAAACATGCTATTCTATGTTAAAATACACCTGAAAATGTCCGTAATTGCTGCATTCGGTGTTTGCGGACTTCCGACTACCGTAACCCTACGAAAAAACTGAATTAAATAGTGCATTTTTGAGCCAGTTTTCAGTGAATTTGGGACCATTTATAGCGAATTTCGGACAATTTTTTGTGGATTTCGAACAAAAATCTTTATAAATTGCGGATTTTTCAGTGGTGGTACCGTCGAAGTGTCCCGCGCGAGCATCCGGTTGGCACTGTGGAACGAATGGAAACTCGTCGAAATGTGATCAAAGATTGTACTGTTTCAATGCTTATCGAATGAGATTTACTATCAGTTTTATCATATAATCTATATTTTATCGTGTCATGTGCTATACCCTGTCCTAAAATAGTTAATAGAATTCGTGTATTAAAGAATGAAGATCTCCTGGTACCTTTTTTATATTGATTTTATTCGATTTCTGTGGTTTTCGAGCCAATTTTTATTGATTTTTTTTCAAAATTTTTGTTCATTTCAGCCTAATTTTCCAGACAAAAAAATGTCTTCATCACATACGATAAAAGTGCGAAAAACGGAGAAAAAAGCAGCGGCCAGCAGCAGCACATCGAAAAGAGGATCCGAAGAGCCGCCGGACAGCCAAGAGCCTCTATTTGCACCAGTTTCAGCTGACATGTGGGAATTACGAACATGGATGGGCCGGCGACAGAGCTGTTGGAGGCGATGGTAAGAAAACGATTTTTGGAGTTATGTAGAATCTGATTTTGTCGAAGAATATGAGACTTCGGAGTGTCGTTGCATTGTTTTCTCGCTTTTTTTGTCATTTTGAAGGGGTGGCCTAACTTTTGCAAGTTGGGTTTTCTAGGCCACCACTTTCAAATGACCTAAAAATGCCTTAACATGACCCTGGTGTGTTTTCTAGGCCATTTTGAAGTGGTGGCCGAACTTTTGCAAATTGAGTTTTCTAGGCCACCGTCTTTTTTGGCCTAAAAATGCCTGGTATTCATTTTTAAAGAGGTGGCCTTACTTGTGCAAGTTTGGTTTTTTAAGCCACCACTTCAAAATGACCTAGAAAACACACAAAATGCAAGTCATGCATTTCTAGGCCATTTTAACGTGGTGGCCTGAAAATCAAACTTGCACAAGTTAGGCCACCTCTTTAAAAATGAATACCAGGTCTGATCAGTTCCTATCGGCAAGCGACAATGGGATTACAGCCATTTGCGCCCACTGATTTCTCAGAAGTCATTTATTTTGTGTCCAAGGAGGTTCATTTTTATGGCTGAAAAATGTCTATTTTTAAATGGTGGCCTAACTTTTGCAAGTTGAATTTTCTAGGCCACCAAATATTATGACCTAGAAATAGCTTAACATTCACCAGATGGATTTTCTAGGTCATTTTCACATGGTGGCCTAGCTTTTGCAAGTTGAGTTTTCCATCAATTTTCAGACAAAAAATTCGGAAAAATCGAAAAGGATTCTTCAAGAATAGCTGAAACACCTTAAAAGGTCTGAAAATTAAAAGGTCTGAAAACAAAAAATTTAAAAGGTCTGAAAAAAACGCTTTTTGAAGCGATTTTATGTGAACCTACAGTATCTTTTGCACAAAATAGAGCTTAAAACCCCACCATATACGAATTGAAATGTCCGACTCCCTGCTGTAACTGTGTCAACGTCGTCGTGCAGTGTCCCACTAGAGAATCATCGTGATTCGGTGTATAGTTGTAGACGTGGATTTGAATGGAGGATTCGTTGAAATAATTGAGCAAAAATAGAGGAATTCGAAAATCTGACCATTCTGGATTCTTGGAATCCTTCAACATTTCCGATTTATGAAGCATCAGGGTTCTCTCTTCCGCCGGGATTGATAAAATAAAATATAGCTGAAGGGGCAGTCCATCTGGACTGTGAATATGGTTCCCGTGGAATTTCAGCCTTAGAAATTGAGAATAATATTCTGGAATCCTTCCAGAAATTTCCAAAGTTATTGTAGACAGAGAAGAGGTTATAGGGAGGGAGAGACGTCCTCCACAAGCAAACATCATTGAAATATCGAAATCCGCGGTGCCCATAGAGCCCATTACAGTGTTGGTGGAGGAGTTGAGGACGTAGCTGAAACTTTTTGGATTTTCGAATTTTTGGAAATTTCAAAAGTTTCAAAAACTCACATAATCGCTCGAAACCTTTGCATCTTTTCAAATCTAAAGTTTAGACTTAATTTATCTTTGAAAAATGAGTCAGATTGCCCATAAACCGTCTCTGTTTCGGCTACTTGCTCGATAATTTCCATTTCCTTATCCAAACTGAACACTCGGATACGAACACCATCGGCAGAAGCGTAGAAACGAGCATTTCTGAAAGTTAAATTGATAAGAAAATGCTGAAAAAAATAAAGAAAAAAACCTGATGGCAAAGGTAACCTCCACTCCATACGCCGCCATTTTGTCGGGTGAGACGAGCAGCATACACACGAGACTCGATTTTTACACTTTTATTGAGTTGCTTGCTCGATGACTCATCGAAATTTCCTCACTTTTTCCGATTTTTTCCTGTCAAAATAATCGAATTTTATCAATTTATTTCGCAAAAATCATACTTCTACCAGGCCGGGCTTTTTCCCGAGTTTCGGAGGCCCGGCCCGGCGGACCTGTCATTCCACAAGTTTTGAAAATTTCAAAAAACGAAAAAAATCACATAAGGGGGACCCTTATGTGATTTTTTTTTCGAGTTTTTTTAAAATATTTTTTGATCAAACAGACAAACAATCCAAAAAGCACAAAAAAATATAAAAAATTGTATTGAGAGCTCAAAATTCGGTTCAAAATGACAAAAGTTTTGCTACCGGGCCTTCCGGGCCGTGCACGGGCCTTGAAATTTTTTTCAGGCCCGGCCCAGAATTTTACAGGTATGGCAAAAATAAATAAAATTTTCGATTCTCCTCGAGGAGTACACGAAAATACAGTACTTTTCGCTTTGAAGCTCAATATACAAAAACAAGGCATGCGCCGCGAAACCCGCTCCGGTAATCCTATGCGCCTTTAAACTCGGCAACCGAATTTTTTTCTATTTTTTCACTCATTTTCGCTGTTTTTTGGCTGATTTTTTTTCGATGATTTTCATTGTTTTCAAGTGATTTTTTCCGTTTTTTCTGATTTTTTATGTTACAAGGTTTGAAAATCTATCGAAAAATCAAAAGAAAATGGGCTAGAAAACAAACTTTTTCCTCGCAGCTGTTTGTAGCTCAAAAATATTCAATTTTCTTTGTTTTTTTCGCTGAAAAGCCCACAAAAAATCACGAAATTATCGATAAATCAGCACAAATTGTTTCAAAATCTGTGGACATTTATCTAAAAAGCCAGAAATCCAGAAAATTGGTTTATGCAAAGAATCAATTTTTTAAAGACGAAAACTATATTTTTAAGCTCAAAATGGTAGATTTGAGAGCTTTTCTATTGAAATAGCTGAAAGTCAGTCTGAAATGTTTTAAAATTTAAGAAAAAATCCAAAAACCAGAAATCCAGAAAATTGGTTTTGGCGAAAATTCTATTTTTTTGAAACGAAGCTCAAAATTAGCTCAAAATTGCCTTATTTTCTCTATTTCTGCCTTGAAATTGCTGTTTTTTACAGACTTTTTACAGATGAATTTTTACGATTTGTCAGATTTTTCAAACAAACACTATCGAAAATTCGGAAAAATTGACCAGAAAGCTCAAAAATATTCAATTCTCTTCGTTTTTTTTTCGAAAAACTTTAAAAATCACGAAAAAATCAATTTAAATAGATGATTCATTGACAATCTAGCAATCTGAAGTGTATTCTCAGCAAACAAAGTCTCCTCTTTCTTCTCTAAACCTGTTCAATTACCTCCTTTTTGCTATTTCTTAAAAACCGCGAGAGTGTGCAAGAGCCCGTCATGGTGTTTGCGGACACTCGTGAGCACTTTGCCTTTCGAAAATTTTCCGGTTTTCCCATTGTTTTACCCATTTTTCATAATTTTTTGAATAATTACTCAAATTTTCAGTAATGGCTCGCGGTCAACAAAAAATCCAATCGCAACAGAAGAACCAGAAGAAGGCCGACGCCGCCAGAAAGGCCGGAATCGACCAGAAGGCTGCTGCCGCCAAGGCTCTCAACCACAAGTGCACTGTGTGCCTCGCCATGATGCCAGACCCAAAAACCTACAAGCAACATTTTGAGAACAAGTGAGTTTTTTCAGCTTTTTAGAACTGAAAATTCTGAATATCCTATCTAAAAATTGTTTAAAAAACTTTTTTCAGGCACCCAAAAAGCCCGCTCCCAGCCGAACTCGAAGCCGTCTAATTCTCCGGATCCGTCGAAAAATGCACTCCATGTCAATTCCCCTCCCTCAAAAACACACTTTACTTTTCTGTATTTGCACCAAATCGCACCCCACCCGATTCTGACTGGTTGCAGCTAATAAAATTCAGTTTTTTTTCAGTTTTTTTTCTTTATAATCGAGGTTCAAACCTTTTTTTATATATCTCTTTGTGTATTTTTTCTACCAAATTTTTTTCAAAAACCACCCTTTTTAGGTTAAGCGCTCAGCAAAATGGCAATCATCTTAAAAGAAGTCTCCGCTCCTACCGCTGGTATCAAGATCACCACACCCAACGTTCAGGCGTTCCATAACTCTGATTCTCTCGGAAACGGAACTCTCTACGTCACTGGTAGCGAGGTTACTTGGATTAGCAGTGCTCCAGGCTCCAAAGGATTCTCTGTTACCTATCCAGCTATCGTCCTTCATGCCATCTCCACAGACACCACCACTTTCCCTTCAGAGCACGTTTTCATGATGGTGGATCAGCGAAAATCGAGTAGGTCGAATTTTTGAATTTCAAAAAATTCAGAAGTTTTGGATTTTTATCTTCAAAATTTGCGTTTTTAGTCAGACGAAGACGTGCGCCTATTCTGAGGACAATTCAGGAAGCTGACGAACAGAGAGGTACACGTCTTCGCCTTGAGATTTCCTAGAAATGAAAAATCTGGAAATTTCAGGCTTGGAACTCGCCGCCGCCGAGTTGGAAGGCGAGGAGAGCGATAATGATGATGAGGAGGGACCAGGACTTGAGATTCGTTTTGTTCCAGATGATAAAGAAGCTTGTAAGTTTGATAGAAGCCCACCTTATACGTGTTTTGCGTCCAATTATCTCGGTTCCTGTGAAAGATACAGAATTGACAGTATGGGGGCCCTTCTACAAGTTTTAGAGTAACTTGATTCTAAATTTCTGAATGTTTCTAGTGACTCCAATGTACCATGAGATTCTGAAGGGACAGGAGGAGAATCCAGAGGAGGATGATATGATGTTCGAAGATGAGGAAGAGCAGGAGGATGGAGAGTACGAAATGGAGGAGGGAGATGAGCAAGCGATGGGATCCGGACAATGGTTCACTGCTGATAACGTAAGATTTGTCTCAAAACTGAGTTTTTGAATCTGGACAGTTCCCAAAATCTGGGATTCCTGAGCTCAGAAAGCAGTCCAAAGTGACGCTCAGATTCCCAAGAGTTCGAATTTGCACAGTTGAAACCATGAACCCCTAGCGTGTCGAGACTCGCAAAAATTCATGGCGTTTTACAAGGATTTTCACAATTTTTTTTTTAAAGCCGCGAATTCTTGAAGATCTGGCTGTCACACTGCTTTCTGGGCCCAGAAATCCAGTTGCAAAAGGGCCGGCCCGGGCAGATGGCGGGTCGCCTGATGACTTGTCCCTAGAACGAGATATTCAGATAGTTTTGGTACCAAATGATAGTTCTTGACAAGGCCCATCAAGTCTATATTATTCAGGTCTAATTCCATTTCGGTAACATGCCGCAACCTGGGATTGAATGATCATTTTCGATCAACTTAAAGGGGGACTCCGACCAAAAATTTTTATTGCATTAAAATGTGTTAAAATTTATCTATTTTCCGAATATTATTGCGAAAAAATTCAAAGAAAATCCGAAATCCCCGAAAAACGGCGTTGAAAAGGAAGAAAATTCAAAAAAAGGTGCCGCCGGGGGACGAGGATTTTCAGTGAGAAACCTAGGCCACGGCACCTGACAGCCTTTTTTTCAAGTCGCCGACAGTGGTTTTTTACGTTTTTTACCTGCCGGACATGAAATTGAAAAAAAATCCGGAAAATTTGCCACATAGGAAAGGCGTTCTTCCTTTTCAACGCCGTTTTTCGGAGATTTCGGATTTTCTTTGAATTTTTTCGCAATAATATTCGGAAAATAGATAACTTTTAACACATTTTAATGCAATAAAAATTTTTGGTCGGAGTCCCCCTTTAACAAAAAAAAAAAGATTTTTTGTCATTCAAACACATTTTCGAATGTTACCGAAATGGAATTAGGCCTGAATGAGATAGACTTGATGGGCCTTGTTAAGATCTATCATTTGGTACCAAAACTGTCTGAATATCTCGTTCTGGGGACAATTTATTAGCCGGCCCGCTTTCAACTATGCTGAAATCCCATATTTTGGAACTTCTGACGCTGCAAAAACCAGTAGCCGAATATCGAGTAGAAGCTCAGTTCAGAAACCTTGCTAGCCTACAAAAATCGATTATTTAAATTTTTCCAGATCGATCAATTGCAAATGAGCGAGGAAGGACTGGCCAACATGCAGAGAATCTTCGGAAGAGGCGATCAGCAGCCACGTCAGGATGATTCCATGGAATAACTGTTTTCCTTTTTTAATTTCTCTATCAAATATTTATATATTCGCCCACCACTTTCAAATGATCTTCTACCCGATTCGTTGGTTCTAAATATCCGTTGTTTCACCTTGTTTTTTATATTCCTTTTTCGTTTTGTTTCGAAATTTTGTGATAATTTGAAATCTCTCTGAATTATGTATATTTTTTCTGTTTTTATCGGTCATGTTATCCATCAAATCTGGTATCTTTTCAATCGGAAAAGCTTTGAAATTCTAGCAAAAAGGGATTTCAGACCTATGAGGAGATGCTGAGAAACCTGTTCGCCACTGCTCGTAGATTCGCTTCTTCAGACTCGCCGAGGTAAAGAAAATATGAAATTTGGGCGAAAAATCAATTCTAAACCCAAAATTTCACTCATTTTGTGCTGAAAAATATGTAGATTCACATAAAAGTAGAGTAAAAAAACACAGCAAACCACCGAAAAATAGCTTCGAAAAGCGAAAAATCTCAGTTCTCGTTGATTTCTGGAAACTTTAGCTATTTTTGAAGATTTTTTTCGATTTTTCCGAATTTTTTGTCTGAAATTTGACGGGACGGTGTTCGCAAAGATTACTTTAGGTTACTGTAGAAAACGAATTCCTTTTTTAGTTTTTTTTTTGCAAACGCAATCACGTCAGGAGGGAGACAAAAAAGTTTGCAAGAAAAAACTACAGAATAAAAGGCTTTCTACAGTAACCTACAGAAAATCGAAGAAAAGTCAATTTTTTCGCTCGAAAAGTCGCTAGTTTTTCGAAGTTTTTAGTTTTGGCGGGAATTCAAAATTCCAAAACTTTCCAGAAGTTTTCAGAAAGGACGAAAGCTGAAAATTTCCGCTTTTTGAAGGCATTTTTTCAAAATTTCCCATCATTTTCATGTTAATTTACATGTTTTCGCCACTTTTGATCTAAAAAATGTGAAATTTTGGTCAGGAAAATCAATTCTAAACCAGAAATTTCATCAAAAAAGTTCTTGCAGAAAAGTGGTAGTTTGCTCAAACGGAACGATCGCTGCGTGGCATCCACCCCAAGAATTCCCCTACGAGCACACGAAACCAATCGATTTGAGTTCAAAAACCGATCAAACGTCGTCTTCTCGTCTCTCAGCGGCCGCCCGTGCTTCTGTAATCCCACGTGAGCCAGTCAACGCCGAGCTCAAAGAGATCTTCTACACCAGCAAGCACGAGTGGTACTCGAGGTATGAAAATTTTCAAAATTCAAAAATTTTCCTATTTTTCAGAACCCGCGAAGAGCGTCTCCGCAACGTCGCCGCCCCGCTACCTCGCCGGAAATAATGCATTTCTCCAATCGCTTTTTAAACAGATCCACTGTAAAAGTGGTCGATTTGGGTCTAATTTCGTATGGTGCCGCTTTGAAACAACAACAGAAATTTGTAGAATTGGTCAAAGCGAATAAATCTGAAACACAGTCTTTGTAAGCGGATTTTCTTTCCAAATTTGTGAATTTTTTGAGAATAAAAGCTTTGCAGAAATTTTATATTGGCACTGGAACACCAACCAGTTTACACAGTGGGTATTCGAAGCAAAGGGTATACGAAAGAGGAGGAGGAACGGTTAAAGGCACTAGGCGCTGAGTTTTACAGGTTTTCTGGAATTTGCGGAATTTCAAATTCTAGAATTCTGGGATTTCAGAACATCCCGAGGCGGTCTAATCACATTCCATGGTCCCGGCCAACTGGTTTTGTATCCGATTTGCGATGTTCGCAGGGTTTCTACAAAGCAATTGGGGGTGAGGAGTTTTGTCGATAAGCTTGAGCAGACGATAATCGATTCGGCGACGGATGGTTTTGGGATTCATAACGTTGGAAGGACAGAGAATACAGGTTTCGAAAAATCTGGAATTTTCAGACTGAAAATAGCTGATTTTCCCTCTCAGGCGTCTGGGTAAACGGCGAACGAAAGCTCGCTGCGATCGGAATCGCTGTGTCGGGCGGTGTGTCTTATCACGGAATCGCAATCAACTGTAACACCGATTTGACGTGGTTTGATAATGTAAGGAGCTGATGATTTTTTGTGATCCTTGGAGTGCTTAAAGGCGCATGAAATTACCTGTATCACCTGTTTACATATATTATTTCGTGCTTTTTTTGTGCATTTTTAGGGAAAAAAACGAAGAAAACTGGATAATTTTGAGCAATTTCTTGTGAAATCATGTATTTCTCTGAATTAATTATGCTCTGGCCTATTTTCCCGATTTTTTCCATGAACTTTAACGATTTTCAGAGAATTGTCATAGTTTTAATGCGAGTTTTTGTGATTTTTTCAGGTTTTGATTTTGCAAAAAAAACTCATAAAAACAATTTTTGTCGATTTCAAACTTTTTCTTCACGAAAATCAAACGAATCGCAAAAAATAGCATAAAAACAGTGAAAATTACCGAAAAATCGATGAAATTCGAAAAATCGAGAAAAATAGGCCAGAAAACAGCTAAAAATTATAAAATTCGGACGGCGAGTTTAAAGGCGCAACCGATAATTCAACACACTAATTTCGAAAATTTCCCAAAATAAATTGATGTTGTTTTCTAAAAATTCCAAATTTCGATTATTTTCCATTTCCAGATCGTCGGCTGCGGAATCGAAGGCGTCTCCACCACATCCCTCTCGCTTGAAACCCGCCGAAACATCAGTGTGTCTGAAGCTCGTCCAATTCTTCTCAACTCTTTTGCAAATAATTTTGAGTGCCTTCTGTCTTAATTTGTTCCCCTTTTTCCATTTTTCTTCAATTGTTCTGTTGTTTTCTAGGTTTTAGGTCCCTATTCATTTTGTTGTTTGTACCCTTGTTGTTGTCGCTTTAGTGTCACCCCGCTCCTTCAAGAAACATTCTTTCTTCTTATTTGAAACATCCCAAATTCCCAAGAGACTTGCTAATGAGAAGTCGGAGAGAGGCGAGTGTTTATTTGATTTATTTACTTACAAAAACTTTAGAAAAAATGGAGAAATTTTAGAAGCTAGGAAAAAAGTTTCGTAGAAAAGGCAAGGCGAAAAGAGGGGAAAAGGGAATGGAAATAAGGAAAATTAGATTTTGCATTGAAACAAAAAAAGAGAGAAGAAGTAGGAACTTGTTGTTTAGTGAACGAAGATCATGTAGAAGACTGGAGCAAGAGCGGCGGAGACGAACGAAGAAACTGGAGCAGAGTTTTGGAGTCCGACAAGTTTCATAACGCTGTTGAGGCCTCCCTTATCGAAGATATCAGTGACCATTTGGTTCCATTTGCTCTTGTTCTCCTCGAATTTCTCGGCTCCTTCGGCCTTGACCTGGAAAAAGACGGAATTTTAAATGAGAGGAACATTGGGCTGTTTTAGGAATTCATGGGTTCTCTTATAGGGCTTTTTACGAAAAAACTGGGCTGTTTCATGAAGTTTTGATTGCCTAGCTCGATTTCAAATTGACTATTCAATCTAGAATTATACAACAGCGTAGCTCGGTTCAAACTTATGAATTTGCTTCTAAACAGTAATATCGGAAATGTCGGCTTTTAAAGTTCTCTTGCAATTTCCCTGCATATTGCATACATGAGCTAAGCGGTCAATGCTGGCGCCTGACGACTCATAACTTGCTTCAAACTCGATATTTTTGCTCGGATCAAAACGTATACTGTAGACCTCGACGAGATCTACAAAATGATATTATTTGGAATACTGTAACTTATCTATGAACAAAGTCACCGGCAAAAAACAAGAGACCGCTTGTTTTTGGCCGCTCAGACGGTTTTTGGCTTATAACTTTGTTCACAGACAAATTACAGAATTCCAATTTATATCATTTTGAATACTAATTATTTTCTATCATATATGATTTTGTTGTTATGAAAATGATGGTCCTGAAAGTCATTATAGCAATACTCAAATGCATATCTTCAAACTAGAAGCTGTGAAATAGTCGGGTCGTTTTCGTACTCTAGTTTGAAACCCGGGGTATGAGTACAGCCGAGTTAGATATCATTTTGTAGATCTCGGTGAGTTCTACATTTTCTTTCTTGATTCGAGCGAAAATCTTAAGTTTGAGCCGAGTTATGCCAGCATTGACCGAGTAGATCATGTCAGCTAGAGGAATTCGTAATAGCGGAAATTTCAAAAATTTTCAAAACGTTCCAAACGAAAAAAAAAATGGGAAAACTTTTTCGGTTTCAAGATAAACACTTACTTGAGACTTCTTTTCAATAGTCGATGCTCTGCTTCTCAAAAGCATACCGTAAAGTCTTTAATAGAAGGGGCCTCGAAATTTTAAATTTGAGCCAAGTTATCTCGGTTCCTGTGAAAGATATCAAAAAGTTGTCAACAGATGAAATTTTACTGATGTTATGATAAATATTTTGTTAGTTGAACACTTTTTGATATCTTTTACAGGAAATGAGGTATATAAACTCAAAGTTGAAAGTTAGGGCGATCATTCTATTAGAGTGTTTACGGTAAATTTTAAAAAAGAGAAGCTTCCAGAATGTTTCCAAAGTTGTCAGGTTTCAAAAATTCTTGATATCCCGAAATTTCAATCTTTGCATTTTTAAGTGTTTACAGGTTCCCAAAGTTCTATCTCTCACTGAGTAGCGACTCCTCAGCTCAATACAAAACTTTCGCTACGAGACTAACGCTATTTTACCGTAATCTTACAGTATGTTTTGGTTGGCGCGCATTTATACAACATCTCCAAAAAATAAGCAGGCAAGTCCCATCCCAAAGTTCCGATTATTTTCAATTTTGAAGTACTTTTTCTGTGAAAATACGCAAACTTCCACTTCTCCCACCGAACCCTTGAACCCCTGGCTCAGGGGCTCTGAGCAACTCCCATAAAGCAGTAGTATGTCTCTATTATTGGGTCACCAATCCCTCAACCTTTCCGTTTTCTCTCAATACTCTCGAAAGTAATGGAAAGAACGATTACCTTGTTTTTTTTCTTTTTCTTTTCTCTATCCATTCAACCAAAAAAATACATCAATAATTGAGAGAAAGAACTGGTTTCAAAACCTTTTTTCACTCCCTCTTTCTCTCAATTTTTGTTCAGTTTTTAAACGGAAAAAAGTAATCGTAGGGAGGAGAAACTTAAAGGGAAATGGATTGGTTGAAGGACAACAAGTGACAGATGGTTGTTTAGATTTTGGACAGATACCAACAGATGGGATATTTCAAGGTAGAAGGTCGAGTTTGGTGTAGACCAAAACCAAGAATTGTTCTAATTAGGAAAATTAGGAAAGAGTGACTTATCTGAAGAATTTGAAACAGCGAAAGAAATTTGTAAAAATTTCTGTTGCACAAAGTTGCTAATAATTCCAGCCCCGAGAGTTTAGATCAATTCTTAGCAAGTAAAGAAACCCTAAAATCTGTAATAGAAGGTGAAGTTCGAGCTCAAGTATCTCAATTATCATGCAAATTATAAAACATGTGTCAACCGGACAAAACACTGATGATATTATGATAAACAATTTATCAGCGGACTCATTTTTGATATTTTTCATGGGAAATGAGATAATTGAGCTCTAACTTGACAGTGGGGGGCCCTTCTTTTACATGTTTTACAGTAAATTTTATAAACTTTTACATGAAAAATTTTAGTAGAGGTAAACCTATAATACCGAAATTCTCTGACAGTGTACTGTAGGTCCTTACAATGTTAGTTTTTAGTACGGCATTCCATGTGGAGTTGAACTGGAACATGTTCTAATAAATTCTCTAACGCAATGCTAGAACCCTAATAGAGGTTACTGTAGTGAATGTTCCAAGACTTATATTTCAAAACGAAGCTAAATCGAAAAAAAAACCTGAAGGAACAACATTTCACATTCGAAAAACCCATTTTGGCCAGAAACGGACTTTGCTAGAGGGATAAATCCCAAAATTACCAAACATCGTAATTTTCTATTTCATTCAGGTTCGAAATTTAAGCTACTGTCCAGACTCTTTAATGTGTGATTTCCTTATATATATATATATATATATATGAATTAAATTTGCGAAATCGAAATTTCAAAAAATTCTTCGAAAACCGTGCTAAAATTTTACATACAAGGTGCCAATTAAAAAAAAACAACTGTTTCATGAAGGTTTCTAATGAACTATGAGATACATTAGTTTATTACACTTCTGCACATGGTATCTCACTAATAAAAATTAAATCCACCGTGAAACCTGCAATAGAAGTGCTCTTTAATATTTAGCTCTGTCTTAATTTATCTCGATTCCTAGCAAAGATAGGAAAAAGTTTCGGTATTCAGAAAGTTTTCATGGGAGGACACATTGAGTTTTATTGTAGTTCGATGTTTGTTATCTAAAGCAGAAATCATAGTCTTACTATTCCAGATTCCATTGCATTAATTAATACCAACTCTTGGAAACAGTAAAGCATACATTTGGACTCAATGTTCATGTTACCAAAAAAGAAACAGGGTTACACCCAATTTGTTATCTTCTCTCTCTCTCTCTCTCTCTCTCTCTCTCTCTCTCTCTCCTTGCCCTTTATCAATCACACTAACTTCAATAGACAATCCGTTCCCCAAAAAGACTTCCCTTTTTCAAATTTCGCAACCTCCCACCCTCCCACACAACAACCTCCCACCACAACAAACAACATCTGTTCTCCCTGAATGGTCAAAAAATGAAAATCACACGACCTTCTTCATTTCGACCTTCCCTTCTTCTTTTAACCAGTTCCTTCTATAGGTACTCTCTACTATTTCTTCTGTTTCCCTTTTTTTCTGATGACAAATAGCATACGTCAGGATGAAGAAGGAAAGGAATGGAATGGAAGGACAATGAAAAATAATTGGAGTTGGTTGTTGGTTTCATGGAATGCGAAATTACGAAATTGGTGTAGTGTGTGGATATATATATCGAAATTATTATGTCCGCAGAATTCTACACATTCCAGAAGTCTTGGTTCTTTGGCTTCTAACTCCCATACCGTCGAATTTAGTGTCATTTTGTAATCTCATCGAGTACTACATTCAAAATTTTGATTCAAACTGAAATTCCAAGTTTGAAGATAGTTATGAGCCGTTGACTTTAGTGTTATTTTTGTAGTTCTTGTCGAGTTCTACATTTTACTTTTTGGTGCAAAACGTAATTCCAAGTTTGAAGCTAGTTATGAGCTGGCGCATGTAGGTGGGATCTTTTTCTATTCCAACTGCAAATGGTTTAGGTGTTGCTATTCTCTAGGATTTCAAAACTTCTTGAAATCAAAAATCAAGGAAAACAGCTCCAATTAAATAAAATTATGCCAGTTTCAAAATTGTCACAAATTTGAAACCGAAACTTTTCAAATCGTTTCCAAAAATTTTCCGTTAGTTGTAAATCACACTAACCTCACAATCAGTCTGGAACTCGGTAACCTTTGCAAAGAACTCATCAGAATTCTTCAATGTCTCCTTCTGACTATGAGCATACCCTAAACAGAAGTATCCTAACCCAAAAAGCCACAACCTGGTGTCCGACAGCCTTGGTCTTCTGGTTTGTAACCCCATATCTTCGAATTTTATGTCATTTTGTAGATCTCGTCGAGTCCTACATTTTACTATTTGATTTAAACTGAAATTCCAAGTTTGAAGCTAGTTAAAAGATTCATATCACCCATTGAAACAGCGGATTCACATCACCCATTGAAACAATAAAACCAGTTTCGAAAATATCACAAATTTGAAACCGAAACTTTCAAACTGTTCTCAAATCGTTTGTTGTGTATCACACTAACCTCTGTCTGGAACTCGGTAACCTTTGCCAAGAACTCATCCACCTTCTTCAATGTCTCCTTCTGTGCATCATTGGCCAGTGGCTCCAATCCCTTGACCTTCTCCTTCAATCCAGTCAACAATTCCTTGACTCTCTCAACGTTCTTGGTCAATTCATCCTGATTGTTCGAGAACAAATCCTTGGCATTCTGGAATTGAGTGGAGAAGAAGTTTCCGACATCCGAAGAGACTCCTGAAAGAGACGGCTTATTTAGAATTCATTGGGACGGAGCAATGGTTGATTGATTGGCTGCTAAATTGGATGAAGAAGGGGTTTTTGATGGATTAGGGGGGCATAGAACGAATTTTGGATTAGAATGTGTCCCTATCTATTTACAGAATCTATTTGAGTTGGGGAAAGGAGAATAAGAAGGAGAAGCTCATAAATCTTTTGGAAAAGGCGAAAAGGAGGAATTGTAAAGGACTAGTCAAGATTGATGGCTCTTTGTGTTCTTCTGACAATGAGCAGCAAGTAAATTTGTGCAATACAGAAAGGAAGCACATAACACAACTTAAAAAATTTCTAATGTTAACCTTTTGAAGCCGATTTTTTTTGGAAATTATTTACCATCGTGTTCTTCTCGCAAGTTCAAAACCCTCGAGAAGCTTTTATAAGCAGAATTAGTTTTGTTAAGCTCATTAAAAAAATTCTAGGATTAATTTCGTTCCACTTTTGGTTTGAAACTATTACATCGGGACGTCTATGATAATATGAGTTTTTTGAAAACGAAATTTTTTCCCAAAAAACAGTTTTTTTTAGTTAGAATTTTTACTCGAAACTTCGGAAATTATGTAAATGTTATTTATTTCACAACTAGAAATGTTTTTCATTCTCTGAAACAATTATATTGGAAGGTCTGTGATAATATGAATTCCCTGAAACTGTAATTTTTCACAATTTATAGATTCATAGAATTAGTAAAAAATGTTGGGATCTAGAATTTTCAAAAAATACTGTTCCATAATTCTATAATTTTTGAAAAATGTAGAAATGAATGATTTTTCGGGAACTCTCCTATTTTCATGAATTTAATTTTTTCAGATTTTTCGAAATTTCGTTTTTTTTCTTGTTTTTTTTCATCTTCTAGAATTGAGGAACACACTTTGGATTCATTTATAACCGCAAACCGCTCTTTTTAATTTTTCAATTCTTCACAATCTTCAGAAAGCCTTTCTCGGACTTTCTGGGTTTTTTCTAGGAATTCAACATTGTTCTAGAACCTTCCATTCCTTCCCTTTTTCCAAAATATTTGTTGTCCTTGACCTTGAATGTTTTCAATGGCTGTGTTTATGTATCAACATACATTGAATTCAAAGAAAAATGTTTCCTTCTTCTAGAAATGATCAGAAAACATTCTGGAGAAGGAATTGCTCACCTTTGAGAAGACCAAAAAAAGAAGTCAAGAGACCATTGACCATAGGTACTCTTCTTTGGAATTGCTCATCTACATATTAATCCAAAACACCTACTTATCTCTTTTTCCCTGGATTATTCTTCAGAAAAAAATCTTTAGAAAATCGCAGACTAAAGACTATTACGTAGCTGGGGGATCCGGATGAAATATGAAACCGGAGGAAATAAAGAAAAGAAAAGGAAAAGAACATGGGGAAGTGCTCCTTTGAGGATAATGCGAATTCCTTGGGAATCAAAGGATTGATGATTGGTCAATGGCGTTTTTTTTTCTTTGATTTAGGCGGAAGTATTGCAATAGGAGAATTAGCTTATAACTTCCTATGGCCATACTAATGGAGACCGTGGAACAGAATTTTTTACACTTTTTTAAAATTGCATTTTCCAAATTTTGGATAGCGGATTTAGATTCTGAATATGTTTTCAGAAAAAAGTGTCCCAATAGGCTTGCCCTGAAGATGACAAACCGGAGACCGATGATTGGTAAAGATTTCTTTGGATTCGACCAATGTATGTAGAAATAATTGAAAATTTAAAAAAAAACAGCACTATTGAAAACACCATGAAACAGAAGTGTATTTTTTTTTCAAATTTCAGTTTCTAGAATGTTTTAGAAAACTTCAAGCTCCAGGAAGCTAAAAACCTACTAGTTCCGTAATAGATTATTCAGCGAGTTTAACAGCACTAAACAACCAGATATTTTGATTTTTCAGGTTACGGTAGCTTTAAGAGAAAGTCTTCCAATTTTGACAGAACATTTCAGCGTATACTAAACAAAACTAGAAATGTATTTTTGTAGTTAGCAACTCTTCCGGAAATCTTCATTCTAATGAGATATGTCATTTGTAACCAAAAAAACACGAAAGTATCAGACCACTCCAAAACCGCTTATCTCGCTTTGGTCGATTTGCTCGAAAAAAGTGTCAACTACAAAGTTGAAGTTCTAATTTTGTTAAGTGTACTCTGAAAATTTCAGACAAATCGAAAAATTTTAGACTACTGTTTCAGGTCTTCAAAGTTGACTCTTCTCCAATGAAAAAAGCAAAAAAATGAAATCTTTTTAACTGAACTAGAAAATCATTACCGAGCCGACATAAGCTTCCTATTGGTACCTTATGGGTCCGTAGGTCCGCTGGTTGTGCCATAGACCCATACCACCTCAATGGACCCTCCTACAGCTCATTTAGTGAAATTAACCCCAGAATAATTTTTTTCGGTTTCAGAAACTTGGAAAATGTTTCAAAATTCTATTTCATCGATATCAAGCTTGGTTAAGGTGGAACAGAACCAAAGTTTGTAATTTAAAATCAAGAAGTCACAAAGTTTAAAAAATATTACTTTTTCTGGCTACCAAAGTTGATTATTTTTCAATGAGAAACTACAGAATCTTCTAGTCAGATACTGTATATTAAATTCATTGTCCCAGTATCGGCTCTTCATAAACCTACTATACGTGCGTTATGGGACAAGCATAATATGTAAGATGGAATAAATAAGGGAAAAAATAGTATAATTTGCTAATCTAAACCCAAAAAGTTCCTGAAATTGAAAAAATCTTTCTTTTTCGGTTTCAGAAACTTGAAAAAAGATTCACAAAAAATGGATCGTCAATCGGCCCCCAAATTGGCCAGAATATTTAGAATCTAATTCGCTAATCTACACGAATAAGTTTCCAGAACATCCCATTTAGTGAAATTAACTCCCAACATTTTTTTCGGTTTCAAAAACTTGAAAAATGTTTCAAAAATTCTATCTTATCGATACCAAGCTAGTTTGGGTCAGAACAAGAGTTAACCAAGAAGTCTTAACATTAGGCCCCCGAAATTGAAAAATGTTTCGGTTTCAGGAAATTCCCAAAAGTTTGACAAAATCTTTCTCATCAATAGTCCTAAATCAATAGTCCTAAGTGTCCTAGAACTCACCTTGAACATCATCCAAGAATCCGGCGTGAGCGGTGGCGGCGAGAAGGAGCACAACGGCGATAGAGGCTTTCACAAACATGGCTAGTTTCTGAACTGAACTGGGCAAATGCCATTTTCATGCATGTCCCAAGAGTGGGCGGAGCTTAGAAAGGAGAAGGAAGCTCCGCCCACTTTTCTCTGCTGTCTCTCTAGAGGAGACGCAGACAGAAAACGAAGGAAAAACCATCAACAACAACAACAACCTGTTGCGAGAGTGTATTTGATTTCTCTTTTTTTGCGGTAGCGAGGTAGAGGATCATCATAAAAAGTAGACAAAACGTTCCAGACACAGACAAACATCGTTAACCCTCATAAAAATTTCAGCGAAAAAACTTGTTTCAGCCCTGTCGCTTTACTTGAAAGTTCTAGTCCATTAACTCTGTTTATTTTAGTGGTGGCTCGTTGTTTTCAGAGAAATGGTCGATCAAAAAAAAGAATTGAATGATGTTTATGCACTCTTTCTTTTTGCATGACCAATGTTCAAAAACAGTGAGCAATAGAATAATACAGGGAGAAAAAAGAGAACAGATGATGTTTCATAGAAATGATGCTTTGGGGTTTTTGGTGTTCGATTGATTGTTCTAGAAGCAAATACTGTGATTGCGCTGACAAAAATAAACAGATCGATGAGCTTTACTGTTTCAGACACTCTTGAAATTTTTCATGTTGAATTTAGAATCTAATTCAGAGGCTTCTGCTGTTCTAAATTTATATATATATATATATATTCCGGGACTGTAATTGTACCCTTTGAAGGGGGTACGGTAGCCTCACAAAATTAATATAGTATTCGAAATTGGAGCAGTGGGAGTGAAAAGCAGCCGTGGCCTCCGGTTATTTCGTTCCAGAATAATAGTCTTATTGAAAACTTTTTGTGCTATTGTTTGTTTTCAGTTTCAAACTGTCTCTAAAATGATAGTTGGCATTTTGTGAGTGATCGAGTTTGATTAAATTCCTATCGAAATCGAGAAATTTATCAGAAATTTATAGAAAAAAATAGTTCCGAAAATTGTATATAAAATCTAAAATTCACAAGGTGCACAGATATTTCAACTCCGTTTCAATATGTCTAGAGAATTATGTCGCGGCAGCAGAGGCTCTACTGCACGACATCTATAATGATCAATCCTTCTCAATCCTAGAGAAGTAATCAACACAGAGCCATACTCTACCGTGACCAACGTGACGAGCACCTCATCTTATCTTCTGATCAACCCGATCTTGGGCTTATTTACGACCAATCCACGTGTTCATCAGTATATAAGGAAGGAGGATCCACAGAATAATCAGATTCGTCACTCCGAGGAACGCGCCTTCATCAGTCTCCAGAAAAAAAAGAAACCCATCTGCCAGTCCAGAAGAAGAGCTCCAACGACCCAGCGTCCAAAGGATCCGCCTCGTCGCACTCTTCTACTCTCTCCACCACCATGAAGCCCAGTCAGTGCCCTCTATGTTGATCTCAATAAACCGTTCATCCTAGAACTCAACAAAGTTCATCCTAGAACTCAACAAAGTTCATCCTAGAACTCAAAATTTTTTGATATTCATCAACAGTACTTTGAAAGTCTTAATGAAAAGATAGAAAATCAGTGTTTGAATTACTCATTTTCAAAAAAAAAGAGTTTCATAAATTCTATAATTTGTGTAGCTCATTTGGTGAAACAGTTGTTCGCGTTGGTCTAAATTATGTTCACCGAGCCTGTTATATATTCTAAAAGTACTGAAAATATCGTTTAAATTTTAAAGTTGATTTTATGAATATTTATTTTTTTAATAAAAATATATTAATTTATTTTTTTTTCGGTTTTCGGTGTTCTATGGCTGTTTTAGAAAGAGGTTATTAAGATTAATAGATTTCGAAAACACATATTTTTGGAGTCGTTCTAGAAAGTAAGTAAAGCCCAGTTTTAAAAATTCTCGACTGTTTCATGGAATTTTCGTCATACTGTTTCTGTTTCATGATTTGAAGTATCGGCTTACGAATTTCTTAATGCACTGAAACTGTGTTCATAAAACTTTTTTTTTCTTCAATCCTTCAGAAATTATGGGTCTGAAATGTTTTATGTTTCAACTAAGTCATAAATTACACTTTCCATAAAATACCTACACATTTTTTCACATTACACATTTATACGGTCACCCTAATTTTGGTGTATAACAGAATAACCGATGGGAACATGTATTCGGTGACTAAAAAATCGGATTCAGGACCTCAAATTACATATCCTTGAAAGTTTTCATATTGATACCAACAAAACTGGCAAGGTTAGGCCACCTTGACTGAAAAATGGCTCTCTGCAAGCATTTCATATTTATACGGTTACCTCCAGAAAAACAAGAAAAAGAGACAATTTAATGTTTAGTGGCAGCACCATACGAATTGATAACATCAAAAGTACGATTTGGCATAGATTGAAGAGGAATTGGGATGTACTGGTTGTCCTGAACTGATCTCCTGCTCCGAATCGGATCATTCGGCAACGATTGCATTCCTGAGCACCCGGCAGGTTCTGTACTTTGTGCAATGGTGGTAAATACTTAACTGACATGTTTTCTATAAAATTCCGATTCAGAAACATGACTAGCCATAGCGAAACTTTGATTTTTTAGGGTCGGAATCATGCTAAATGGATCAGCTGATGCGACGGAAGGACTTCTCCTACTGGGAAATGATCTTATGGTGATGAAATCGACAACGGAAATGAAGGACAGAACCCTCGAACACTTTTTCATAATCTCCGGAGTTCATACGACCAGGGGCAAACGCCATCTTGAGTTATCTAGCCCTAGAGAAAGCTTCACCCTGTTTTTTATGAGATGTTATTGGATCTTTGCGCAGATCATTCCAAAATGGCTAGTATTCGTTCAAATTGAATTTATTTTCATCCTAACATATTTTTTGTGAAAAATCAAATGTTTCGGATTCTCAAATTTGGTCTACCTTCGGTGAAGACAGTCTTTTGGTATGTTGTGCTTTCTCTGGGGCTAGATAACTCAAGATGGCGTTTGCCCCTGGTCGTATGAACTCCGGAGATTATGAAAAAGTGTTCGAGGGTTCTATCCTTCATTTCCGTTGTCGATTTCATCACCATAAGATCATTTCCCAGTAGGAGAAGTCCTTCCGTCGCATCAGCTGATCCATTTAGCATGATTCCGACCCTAAAAAATCAAAGTTTCGCTATGGCTAGTCATGTTTCTGAATCGGAATTTTATAGAAAACATGTCAGTTAAGTATTTACCACCATTGCACAAAGTACAGAACCTGCCGGGTGCTCAGGAATGCAATCGTTGCCGAATGATCCGATTCGGAGCAGGAGATCAGCCAAATCGTACTTTTGATGTTATCAATTCGTATGGTGCTGCCACTAAACATTAAATTGTCTCTTTTTCTTGTTTTTCTGGAGGTGACCGTATAAATATGAAATGCTTGCAGAGAGCCATTTTTCAGTCAAGGTGGCCTAATCTTGCCAGTTTTGTTGGTATCAATATGAAAACTATCAAGGATATGTAATTTGAGGTCCTGAATCCGATTTTTTAGTCACCGGGGTAGTTCCCGATTTGTCGTTTTTCGAATGAGATCCTGTAAAGTTTTTTTAAACGGAATCGGAAAATCGAGTTCTCGATTTTTCCGATTTTCCATTTTTTTCGGAAAATTTTCCGAAAAATATTCGGAAAATTTTTTCTCGAAATAATCATGCTGCGTTCAAAGTGAAGAGGAAATCTCTACTTTGTATAGTTGAAACGGGTGCAACAGTAACCCAAGCGCGGCGAGACCCGCAATCGGTGTCGATTTACGGGGTCGATTTAAGGTGAATTTTTTTAAAATTAATTTTTTTTGAATGAAAACATACTTTAATCAGGGTTTTCATTACTTTTTCAACATTTTTTTCGGTTTATACTGTTCTTAATAGACTTCTTTTATTCTTCAGTGATTTTTTACCTTCTCTCACTGAAAACACTTGGTTTTTTTCAGACTTTAGGTCATCAAAAGTTTTTCTTAAAATTGTTGGTTTTGCAGTGAGTAACTTTGTCTGAATTTAACGAAATTTTCAGACTAAACATGGGAAAATACTCAGCGGTATTGACAAATCTGGCGGATGGAAGGAAAAAGTGTAATATTTGTGCTTTTTGTTGTTTTTGTTGTTTTTGTCAAATAAACTGGTAATTTTTGACTAATTGAAATTCGAGAAAATTCGAGAACTCGATTTTCCGAAAAAAAAAGTCGAGAAAAAATTCGAGAACTCGATTTTCCGAAAAAAAAAGTCGAGAAAAAATTCGAGAACACGATTTTCCGAATTTGTTTTTCCGAACAAGCCTGATTATCAGGATGAATATTTCAATGCAGAGGAGTTATTGGATGATGATTCCGATGGTCGTCAAAAAAATTATGAGAACTTTACGGAGCTTTTTGAAGAGACTGAATTCGCTTCCGAAAACAATGAATGCGAAAATGATTCAAGCTCCAAAGATAGTGAGTTGTTTTCTTCATTGTTTTCAAAATTCCTATAACTGATTTCAGTACTCGTCTTTGTCTCGTTTATCCTTATGCTCCGGTTATCGCGAACCCAAGTTAAAATGGCAATCGCAATCGTCGAATATTTTCTAAAATGCTCTCTGCCTTTCACGGTCAATCCAGCTACTTTAATTCAGATCATAATGTCATTTTCAGGCAAAAGAAGTGTCCGATGAAGTAAACCGCCGACGTATGAGTCACGCTCCAAAAACTCGGCTTTTTTGTCCAAAGTGTTTATGTTTCATACCGAAAGGACAATCATGCTCAAATTTTGGTCAGCAGCAGAAATTCGAATGCGGAGCCCCGAATGGAACGAATTCATCAAAGATGATTCATCGTCAATTTAGTATGTTTTCCACTGAATTTTTTGTTCGTTGACTTTGGAATCTTTTTTCAGTTATCGAGCTCTTGTGCGAAATCAGCCGTTCAAGTCTACATCATTTTCGCATCCGGGTCCGCAGAAGAGTCAAATGCATTTGATGAAATTTCGAAAAAGGAGAAATACTAGAGGATTCGGATCTGTATGCTTATTCATAATTCGAGGAGGCCAGAGCTACGTGCTCATAGAAGAATATGGATCAGCAGCTGCTCTAAGACTTGATTTTTCAAAGTTAGCTCGGAACACGCAACGTTTGGCTAGGTCAATTAAACTTTTTGCTGACAATAATTGTGCTCTCTTATTGTTAAATGCACTAACCTAGTTGGTCTCACATTGATCCCCACTTCTGATGTTTTATCTCCTTTCCTATCAATCCAGTTTGATGGAAACACTTATTTCTGCCCCATTCGTTACTCCCCCATTGTTGTTAGATAAGAATAATTTCTTTTGATAATAAAAACTTATATTTTGTTAATATTCTCATTTGATTTTCATGAAAAACGCCCTGGAAGAGGAAGGGGGAAAGAACAGAAAGCATTTACCTGCCGGCGTGAAAGTCCATGCCGGCAAGCTAAAAAAAAGTCCCTGCCGCTGCCCTGCGGCAGGAACTTCCCTTAGCCCCACGGCGGGAACTTTATTCTTGTCTGAGTAGGTTTTAAGTTCCTCTTCCTTGGTCTGCACATATTCAGTCTGACTATCAGATTCCTACAAGTTGTTGGTGCACGGTTATGCAAACCAGAGGGACTAAATCAGGTGGGAGTGATTTTTTGGATGGTTTCGAAGGATAAAGACTACAACGCCTTTCGGAAGCCTATTGAAAATTGACTTCCTAACAATACTCACCCCCGAGCCGAGCCACAGATTTCAATTGTTGTTGGGCGATCTGCCAAATCCGTAAAAGCGCCGGCATGATTTTAAAAATCCTGAGTAAACGATAGAATAATGAAGTTGGGAAATTATTAGAGAACTTGAAACAGAGAAAAAAATAAGATGGTTGTGAGGAAGTTTGTTCTTCAAGATGGGTAAATCTGAAACAACTTGAACACTAAAAAAGTAAGAGAAAGCATTCATTCAGAGTAATGGTCTTGATCTGTGACCAGTAAGAGAATCCGCGAAAAAAGGCAGCAACTTTGTTTCGACAAAGCCCTAAAAGTTGACTGAATGTTGAAAATGAAACGATTTCCCTCAATAATGGAATTCTTCGCATTTACTCAAAATCGGGTCATGACCCAGAAAAAAGTTACCTAGAAAAAATTAGAAAAAATCTAGTTCATGGCCTCAAAAAATCTAGGTCATGACCTATAAAAAACTAGGTCATGACCTAAAAAATCTAGGTCACGGCCTAAAAAATTTGGGTCATGACCTAATAAAATCTAGGTCGTGACCCAGAAAAAATTAGATTGGACAGAAAAATTTAGGTCACGACCTAGAAAAATCAAGACCCAGGACCGAGGAACCCAGACAGACCCGGAATCTCGGATCACTTCTCCGGGCTCCCCTCTTTGGAGCCCAGAGGCGAGTATTGATTTTCCCCTTCACTTTCCTCTTCCTTTATAGTAGTCTCCTTGAGGTCAATGGACCATCAAGGGTCGTGGGTTTATTTAATTAACTTTTTTGCTTTTAAAATTTGTGAAACTCTTCAAAAAGATCGCATCTTTGAACCTAATTAACTCGTTTCCTGTAAGAGATATCAAAAATGTGTCAACTGATAAAATGTTTTTGATAATATGATAAACATTTTATCAGTTGACCACTTTTTGATATCTTTTACAGAAAATGAGATATATTTGGTCAACGTTGACAGTTTAGGAGATACTATTATGGGTTTTTTAGAAATTAAATTTTATGAAAAAGGATTTTCACATCTTTTTTTGCTCACAACAATAGAGTTGGTCAGTTTTCAGACCAATTTTCAGCCAAACTATTTTCCAGGATTACTGTACACCTCGCATGTTGCGCATTGTACGCAATTGCATCATTGTACGCAAGAGCGCACGCACAATCACGGTCGCCACATTTTGCCGGTAATTTTGAACCGAAACCGCTTGTCGGCTCGCTCAATTTTTCTCAACTGAAGGTTTTTTATTGTTTCTTGCTTCAATACAATGGAATTCAACAGTTTCTAATTTTCAGACCAATTTCCAGCAACAAATCTAATTTTAATTTTCCAGGGTTACTGTAGATCTCATTGTCGCGCATTGTACGCAATTGCACCAGAGCGCACGCGCAATCACGGTTGCCACATTTTGCCGGCAATTTCAAACCGGCTTGCTCAATTTTAACCGATTTCAGCGATTTTCTAGCAGTTTTATGGTAAGTTTTCTCATTTTTATTGAAAAAATTTCCATTTTCGAGGTGTCGGAGCCCGAGGATTACGCGGATTTCCGCATTTTAGCGGCACGATGTCCGTCGGGAAGCAAAAAGAATTCAATGTCGTTCGATTCGACGAACGGGATGACACGATATCGATTTACGCTTGGCGAGGTGCTCTCATGGAATATCGATATCGATGTGATTGTTGGGAACGGTTGGACGCGGATTACGTTGCGCGAAATCCCCCGATTTCTGGTTGATGCGCTGGACTTTATCACAGCGAACGGATTGCAAATCGATGGAATATTCCGGAAAGAGGGAAATTCGGCGAGATTAAATCGACAAGAAGTGCGGCGACCCAATTTTTTTTTTAAATTATCGATTTTTCTAGGTCCTCGAAGTCTACCGTGGCGTTCGACAAATCCCATCCGACTTCACCGTTCTCGACGTGTGCACCATGGTGAAACGATTCCTGAAAGACCTTAAACCAACGCTTCTGAATTCCGAAGAAGTCCGTTTGAATATCATCCGAAAGGCAAAGAAGGCACGTCTGTCTGGAGAATTTGAGCTGTCCCATTTGGAAATGGTCGAGATTTTCGAGTCAGCAGGACGACATCTCTCACCTTCGCATCTGGGAACACTAGGATATGTCATGAGACTATTGAGCAGGGTAATTATCAATTTTTCGGTTTTGGATATTTTTTGAATTCTTGAAGATCGCAAAACACTCGGAAACTCACAAAATGACAGCTGATAACCTGGCTGTGGTGCTGGTTGGCTCTGTTTTTGGAGATTTTATGGCTGGAGGGGGTACAGAGTCACGGAAGAAGATGCAGCAGGCGAGGAAATGTACAGAGGCGGAGTTGCATGCGAAGAAGGAGGATATGGGGATTCAGGTGGCAGCTGTAAAGCTGTTGATAGTTAATGTAAGAAAAATTGAACCACTAGGGCTATTCCACTTTTCCAGGCCAACCTAATCGGTCTCCCTCACGGCCACTACGTCTCCAGCAATCGTCTCCATCTGAACAGCCACATGAACATTCGAAGCACCTCCGCGATGCCCAACATCCGATGTTCGAGCCTATCCGAAAACGAACAATCCGCCCCGACGTCTTCAGCCACCACACCACGTGTATTCAGTATGGGCAAGGCGTCGTTGATGCATCAGAATCATCCAGCATCCACAGGATCGTCTCAAATCCCTCCGAGGACCACGTTGACACGACGAGACTCCGATTTGACGCATGTGAAAGGGGTGAATAAGCCGAGTAGCTCGACAGGGACAAAAGTGAGTTGTAGAAATTAGAAAAATCAATTATCGATCAACTGATTTTTCCGTTCCAGAGATCCTCATCATTCCTTCCGATTCCATCACTCCGAGGTCTTCGAGATCGCGTCTCCAATCAATTTCTGAAACGAAACAAGAGCCCGAGTCCTGATAAGGTAGCCTTGATTGGCGATGTTATTTATTTTCCGTTTACCTAGGCTTCAATATATAATGCATGTTATTTTCTTCTTTAATTTTTAAAGCTAATCCCACCCCATAATAATATCATTCTATAATATATAAGCACCCACACTTAATTTTTTGTCGCCCCCCTAATATGAAGAAAGTATTGTATAAATAATTAATATAAAATGACAACTCTCTTCGACCAAAACACAAAATTCTGAAATTTCAGCTCCGAAGACAAGCATTCCAAAAAGTGGCAACAACGTCCTCTTCGAATCTTCCACCTCCACCACCTCCGTCGCCTTTTCATTCTACACCAGTCGCTGTTAGAAGACGTGTAGCTTCTGGAGTGGATAGTGACGATGACCGAAGAGAAGCGAATCGAAGTATTCAGAAGCAGGGATCGACGTCTTCTGGGCGGAAGTCACGCACGCATACCAAGAAGGGCAATATAAATTCGTCGGCGATGAAGAATAATTTCGATTCCGATAGTCAGAAGTCGTTTCAGATGTCGCCGAATCCGTTGGAGAAGGTTAGTTACCGGAAAACCTGTATTAGAATGTCCGGCTTTTTTTTTGCTCCAAGGTACCACCAGAGGGCCCTTCTATCAGAGATGACCCTTTTATATTTTGGCCATTTTACACCAAAATTGAGCAATTTTCCAATTTCAAACTGCAAATTTCGAGAAGGTTTCTCAAGCCCTTCTCAGATGGCCCTTCTAAAAGAGGTTTTACAGTAATTTGAATTTCGATCATTTTCAGAGAACCTCCATCTCTTCTTCCTCATCAACTCTCACAAATCGCTCACTTCGCCGAATCTCTCAATCCGATCAGAACAGCTTCCAACGTGGCGACGCTACGCCGCCGAAAAAGAAGAAATCAGGGACCAACGGCGGATTAACTCGAAGAAACACTGGCGATGGCCTTCGAAAGGATTTTCATAATCATCGAAATGTGACAAGACGGTCCACGTTTTGGGGTGTAGATACTATTGCTGAGGAGAAAGAGAATCGGAGAAGTGTGTTGATGGGAGTAGATGATTTGAAAAGTGAAGAGGAGGATCCGAAGGAAATGATTAGTGTCATGGAGGATACGATTGGACCGACCGGAGAATCGGTGCTGGAAATTGTAAGGGTGCAAATATGTGATTTTTCTGCTATTTTACCATGGTGGTCTAATTTTTGCTAGTTGAGTTTTCTAGGCCACCATGATAACGAGGGTAAAAACAGATCAGGTGAATTTGAGGTCATTTCTAGGCTTTTCACCATGGTG